TATGACATTGAATGTATAGAAAAATATTTATTTTATCTTTGAACATTACATTGGAAGATCACAGTATTTTTCGGGATTGAAGTCAAATTTTAACTTCTTACTTTGTGATACGACGTAAATAGATATGAATCAATTAATTAAATATATATTATATTTAAATTTTTCAATGTTAACATATCTTTCGAAAAGAGATAATATATCTGTATTTATGTACACATAGAATATATATATATATATATATATATATATATATATATATATGTAATTCCAGCGCGTGTATTTCATGTAATGTTTTAAATTATAATATATATATATATATATATATATATATATATATATATATATTTCTAAACACAACGCAAATATTTCAGAATAAGGTTGTAGCGTCATACTCTATATATACATATAGATATTATATGTGTGTGTGTTTATTTGTGTATGTGTAGAGAGAGAGAGAAAGGGAGAGAGAGAGGACCATAAAATTTATTTAAAAAATTAAAATTAAAAATTTATTTATATTTATATACATATGCGTTTTGCTTTACAGCACTGATGGCATTTCGTGTACTACAGGCATTTTTTACATAGCACGGAACAGAATCAGAAATTGTGCACATATATGTTACCCTCTGAGAACTTTCGTGGACTTTGGCTTTGTAGTTCATGTTCACATTTTTAATTGTAGTTCCAGATGACGTAAATGGACGTATGCGTCGCTAGTGTAGTAAAGCATTCCATGAAAGAGCAGCGTGGCCCCTCTTCACTGCTCGCAGATTGACACGTAAGACACGCATATCAGAGAGAAACCTCTCTGCGCATACCGTTTTCCTTTGCGTTCGTCCTTTAAACGATATTTAAATGAGTAAATTTTGACAGATCGAGCATTGTCACGTGTATTTCTCAATCTTAATTGTAGATACGTGCTCCGTTCACGAAGAACCGAGAAAATGAGTACAATAACCGAGCAGCCGTGTTACACTCTGATAAATATTCCAACTGATACGGAGCCGCTGAACGAGCTCCAGCTGAAGCAGGATCTTGAGAAAGGAAGTGTTCAGACGAAAATCGATTCGCTTAAGAAAACCATTCACATGATCTTGAGCGGTGAAAGATTACCAGGACTGCTAATGACGATCATCAGATTTGTCCTACCCCTGCAGAATCACACTATCAAGAAGCTGCTATTAATATTCTGGGAGATTGTACCAAAAACTTCTGCCGATGGCAAGCTCCTGCAGGAGATGATCCTGGTATGCGATGCATATAGGAAAGATTTACAGCATCCCAATGAATTTGTCAGGGGATCTACTCTCAGGTATAGAAGTGTACAGGAGTGACCAAAAATATACGTCGTATTATAAGAATAAGAAATTGTATATAATCTTTAATTATTTGTAGATTTTTGTGCAAACTGAAGGAGCCAGAACTTCTCGAGCCGCTGATGCCAGCGATAACTGCTTGTCTAGAGCATAGACACTCTTATGTCAGACGCAATGCAGTACTTGCTATTTTTACTATTTACAGAAACTTTGAATTTCTTATACCAGATGCTCCAGAATTAATAGCAAAATATTTAGAAGGAGAGCAAGATATGTCATGCAGAAGAAATGCATTCCTAATGTTGTTACATGCTGATCAGAACAGAGCTCTCGCTTATTTAGCTGCATGTCTCGATCAAGTACCTAGTTTTGGCGACATATTACAGTTGGTTATTGTTGAGTTAATATATAAGGTATAAATAAATAAAATTTATTATTAAAGCATGAATGCGCATAATTTGTCTTCAATGACACAAATTATTAATATAATAAATTATTTTGTTCTAGGTTTGTCTTGCGAATCCATCAGAAAGAGCACGCTTTATCAGATGTATTTACAGTCTACTAAATTCACCTAGTGCTGCAGTGCGTTACGAAGCAGCTGGCACACTGGTAACTCTTTCCAGTGCACCAACAGCGATCAAAGCTGCAGCCTCCTGCTATATCGAATTGGTTGTTAAAGAAAGTGATAACAATGTCAAGCTCATTGTACTCGACCGACTAATCGCAATGAAAGACAGCTCTGTTTATGAAAGAGTACTTCAAGATCTTGTGATGGATGTGCTTCGTGTTTTAGGTATAATCACAATAATTGATAATCACAATAATACATTGTGTTAATGGAACTTCTATATGCTACTATTATTATTATTATTTGTATTCTGTAAATAGGCTCACCAGCTTTAGAAGTCAGAACTAAGACCTTAGCTCTGGCTATGGATTTGGTCACAACTCGTACCATCGAGGAAATGGTTCAACTTTTAAAAAAGGAAGTTCTCAGGACAGCAGGCGGAGAGCATGAAGATGCTGGTAGATACCGTCAACTCTTGGTACGAACCCTTCATGCTTGTTCCATGAAGTTTGCGGATGTTGCTGCCACCGTAATTCCTGTATTGACAGATTTTCTATCGGAGAGTAACGAGGCGGCCGCTACAGATGTTCTTGTATTTGTTCGTGAAGCTATACAGAGATTCGAGAATCTTAGACCATTGATTGTGGAGAAACTTTTAGAGGTGTGTATATGATTTAGTGCATTTATTAAATATAATTGGCATAATAAACGGAATCTAATTTTGATTTTAATGAATTAGGTATTCCCTCATATACGGTCCGTAAAGGTGCACAGGGCCGCGCTTTGGATTCTTGGCGAATACGCTACATCGAAAGAAGATATAGAAGCCGTGATGGGCCGCGTACGTGCAGCATTAGGCGAATTGCCATTGCTTGAGGCAGAAAATAAACGTCAAGCCGGCGAAAAGTCTGAAGATGGTAACTCACAAGCTGCACCAACACAACTTGTCACATCTGATGGGACATACGCGACTCAAAGTGCTTTTAGTGCTACATCTGCACGTGAGTAATTTTTACTTTTTAAGCAATATTTCATGTATATTATATTTTATATATATTATAAATTTGAATTAATTTTTATTAGGAAAGAAAGAGGAGAAGCGACCAGCGTTAGTACAATATATGATGGAAGGTGATTTCTTTATCGGCGCGTCCTTGGCTACTACATTGGCAAAATTAGCACTTCGTTATAAAACGCTTGAAACTAACATTCAAAAGAGCAATAGATTGCAAGCGGAGGCGATGCTCATAATGTCCAGTATGCTACAGTTAGGCCGTTCAGGTCTTCCCATGAAAGCAATGACACACGATGATGCGGAGAGGATCTCTTTGTGCCTTAGATCGCTCGCTTGTCCAACACCAATTGTACAAAAAGTTTTCACCGAGGGATGTCGCGATGCTCTTGGCAGGATGTTGACTGCGAAAGCGGAAGAGGACTCGCAAAATCAAAAGGCCAAAGAAAAACCAGGCAGCATTGTTCAAGTCGACGATGCGATTCAATTCTTACAGTTGAGTCGGGGATCCGACTTAGCTGGTGGTGCTGGCGATGTATTCGAGCAGAGTCTCAGTGCAGCTGTCGCAGGACGACCCGGCGCTAGTGGAGACGCACCAGCGCCGAGTGTTTTAAGTAAAGTCACTCAGCTCACCGGTTTCTCAGATCCGGTTTATGCAGAAGCCTTGGTTCATGTCAATCAATATGATATCGTGCTTGACGTATTGATAGTCAATCAAACAGAAGATACTCTGCAGAACTGTACCTTGGAACTGGCTACTATGGGTGATCTGAAATTGGTAGAGAGACCGCAACCTATCGTACTCGCACCGAGGGATTTCGCCTCTATCAAGGCGAACGTGAAAGTCGCGTCTACGGAAAATGGAATTATATTTGGAAATATCGGTAAGCAATTTAGATTGGAAAGTTGCCGATTCTGGCGGATGTAATTTACGTGACTATTTCTGTTTTGTTTGCAGTTTATGATGTATCAGGAGCAGGTTCCGATAGAAGCGTTGTTGTTCTCAACGATATACACATCGATATCATGGATTATATAGTTCCCGCAACATGCACCGACGCGGAATTCCGCCAGATGTGGGCCGAGTTTGAATGGGAGAATAAAGTCTCGGTCAACACAACTCTGTCTGATTTGAGAGAGTATCTTGCCCATTTGTTGAAGTCCACAAATATGCGTTGTCTCACGCCGGAAAAGGTACGTACAATTTTTTTACTTTTTATCAGATTATTAAATTGCAATTTTCTGTTTATATAGGCTCTCTCGGGACAATGTGGATTTATGGCGGCGAATATGTATGCTAAATCGATATTCGGTGAAGATGCCTTGGCGAATTTATCTATCGAAAAACCGTTAAATAAACCCGACGCACCAGTGGTTGGACATATTCGTATCAGAGCCAAGAGCCAAGGCATGGCTCTGTCACTGGGCGATAAGATCAATTCAGCACAGAAAGGCCCGCAGACTAAGGTCGTGCAAGCTGCTTGAAATGTGTCAGTTTGATTAAATTTTTTTGATATCTTTTAATGTATTATCTCGTAAACAAAAGGACTTAATGTATTATCTCGTAAACAAAAGGACACTCGTATCGAATTATATTAAAATGCGCATTGTATAATGTACGTGCGCATTAATTTCATATCATGTTTAACTATTACATTTTCTGCCGACACATTATTATCATAATATGCTACATAAATAGGATATATTCAGTAGTCAAGGTAAATAAATAGGCAATACTTTATCTATGTATAAGCCTTGTTCCTTTAATTCTTTTTTGACGTAGTTATATGGAACAATGCGCATCTCTGTAACTTTTTAAATAAAATAACTTTTAAAAATAACTTTTAGCGAAAAAAATATTAATTCTTTATAGCTCAAACTATTTTTGCGATTTTTAATGTTTAATATGTATGCATAATAAAAATTAAATAGCTTAAATAGTAAATATAAAATTTTTTTTGAAGATTTAAAAAATCTGAAAATTAGTTTCCGTATTATTTTAAAACTTTAAAAATATAAAAAAAATTAAAGTATTTTTAAATTTTCATTGATGTACAAAAAAATCTTCCCATTATGAATTATATTAAATGTAATAGAATTTTATTAATATATATTTTGTCATTTAAATTGATTAATATCATGTTTTGCCTTAGATTTAAAGCCACCCTCCTTTTGATGATTTACTGCGCGGCGTAATAGCTACAAGCTTCTCTCTATCATTATCTTTGTTACTGTCTGAGGCAATCGTTAACGACGGAATAATCGAAAGTTTAGGACTATGTGAAACTTTCGGTCGTGCTCTGATTGAACTGCTTCCATCTTTGACGCTGGTAAAGGATGTACTTGTGACAGTAGTCGCTGCGGGTTTGCTTTGACTTTCTGTGGAAGAGCTAGAAACAGTTTTTGTCATAGTAGAAGTAGCAGTAGTGGTGGATTTTGCAGTAGTAGAAGTAGCAATAGTAGTGGATTTTGCAGTAGTAGTGGATTTTGCAGTAGTAGTAGCAGTAGCAGCAGTGATTGTGGGAGTAGTGGATTTGGCAGTAGAGGTCTTTGTAGTGGCAGAAATAATTGTTGCACTCGATGTAGTAGTAGCAGCGGTAATAGTAGTTGTGGTTGCAGTCATTGACGTGGCGATAGTAGTTGTAGATGTAGTGGAGACAGTCGGAGCAATACTCGTAGTAGACATGGATTGAGTAGAAGTTGATGATTGTTCTAAAGAAAAAATAAAAAAAGAAATAATTGAGCAATATATATATATATATATATATATATATATTAGCAATAATATAATGCATGTGTACAAATTAATGTGATAATAAAATATAAATAATATTTTGTAATACGAGGTATATTTTTGATGATGTTAACGTTATGTTATGATCATTTTATTTTTAATAATATAAATGATATTTATATAATGCAATTCATGCATATTTAAATTCTGTAAAAAAATTACCAGTTGACTGAATATTCGGTTGAATAGGTGCTTTCCTCTTGATCACTCGTGGTGGTGATGTGCGAAGTGGTAACAATGGCGTTACAGCTTTCGTAGTTGTCTCGTTAACAAAATCAACCGAGGATGTAGGCTTAGGCTGCGTAAAAAATATTCTTGTAAGAAATGTTTCAATTTTTAATGAATAATTATCTAATATTTTATCGTAGTACATTAGATCGATTCCAAAATTTTTTTAAATTATTTAAAACTGAACTTTTTTTTATTTGTATATGCTTAGAAATTAAATTGTTTTACTTTGATGTTTTATGTTAATGTTGTTAATTATCAATTTAGCACCTGAAGAATGGATTCAAACGGTTGTGAACCGATGCCGTTTCTAATCGGTTCCGGAGTTTTGCTTCTCGGAGTTTTAGCATTATCATCGATTTCGACGATTTCATGGAGGACGTGCAGTATCGTTGCCGCAGTAGTTTCTGGTAATTCGACTGGGACGACTGGTAGCAGTGGACTCTTTTGTGTCAGACGTTTCGCCTCCTCCATCGCTCTCTTCAAGCTCTGCTGATTTTGCAGCGATGCCCTGCTGGTGCTTTTACCGATTTGCGAGCTTTTAACTACGTTTGTTACGACCTATAAGATCATGTGTGACGAGCATAACTTCGATTTTTTAATATTATGAAAGATCTCAATAAGAGAGATCTCATATATACATGTACCTGATTCCAACGATGTTCAGCCGAAGTTAATACAGCTAATCTGGCGATTCTTCTCCATCTTTCAGCATTATTTTCGTTTTCGCGTTGTTGAAGATCCATTTCTTCTTGAAGATCACTGTCAGCTGGATTTACAGGACCTGCTACTTGGAAGTCTTTCATAAGCCTTCGCTCCCAGACCTTCATCTTCTTCCCCAGTATGGCTAGACAAGAAGCAAGGACATGTGTGAGTTTTAATATGGTTTTATATTAAAATCTCTTGGCAAGGAAAGTTTTAATTTTATGCTATCGTTTATTTTTAGCAATTGATATTTAAAAGTTGAAAAATGTCAGTATTTATACAAGAATACCCACTCTTTTCTTTTTTATCGATATCGCCAATATCCATGCCGTTTCTGTGCAAAATGTCCAAAAGTTCGCATCTCCATGATGACAGATCAGATTTAAGTTCGTGTACATCGTCTTCAGTGACAGGTTCCATCTCATGCTCGCTATGCGCGTTCACAATGTAACGCCATATCAAAGCTCTCATAACAGCTCCATATCTACATAATATATGTACAATAATAATCGTATATTAATAGCAAGAATACGCGTATATAACTAAATACGCTTTTATCTTTACACAACACATTGCTTGCAGATTAATAATTAAATAATTATTAATTATTAACATTAATTTTTATTAGTCATTAGAATATTAATTATTAATTATTACTTATTATCAATTAATATAAGAAAGTAAATTTTATTTCATATTATTTTGCTTATTTTTTTTCAAAAGATTTAATATATCTCACTTGTGTTCGCGTGCACGTCGACGTTGGCTGGAATGTCTACCGATGGATTTCTTCTTCAAGCCGAAGAATCGGAAAAGCAGCTTCGGTGGCGGAAAGATATTGAAGGGCGGCGGAAGAGTTCCGCTGTCTTCGAAGTAGCTCATCCATAATTTCGTTCGCGCAAATTTCCACTCCGTGTCAGAATGTTCCTATCGCGTCGATGTCTCCGTTAACGAGATCTTTCAGATCATGAATATCATTCGAATCGGATACTTACCTCGATGACAGCATAGCTATTGCTCATCATAGCTATCAGTAGATTTAGCAGGACAATCACGTTGATGACGGAATACGATCCAAACATCAACAGGCCCCAGAATCGAGTGTACGACTTGATGCCTGAAAATAATAATATTAGTGTGTACAGAAAATGATGGTTGTTATAATCGGTAAAATAAGGATGTTACAACAAGAACAGAAAGATTTCTTTTGCTTGTTTGAATTACATGAATAGACGTACCAGTGAGTTCGAAGGTTTCGATGCCAACCATACCAAAACTAGCCCAGAAGAGGCTCTGACAAGACTCGAACAAATTGCTGAATCTGAAAATATTTAACGAGAAATCTGTTTAAAATAATATATTTGAATAAAAATAATAATTATGTTAAAATTATATTTAAAAGGAAAACAAGAAAAAATGTTGATTCTTTTCAAGAGAAATGTTAAAAAAACTTATTCTCGGCAAAGATATATATGTTTATTATATATACTACGAAAGGTATTGCCTTGATAAATAATTCAGTATTACATATTTGACAAGGATACGCGGTCTATTATTTTTTCATGATTATTAGATTGTACAAACACATGCACACACATGCGCGTATCAGAGATGTGGCTCGAAAAGAAGGAAACGAGTACATCTCTTCCGCGTGGCAATTCGATTATTCCATTCACCTTCTCCATCTTAAGCAGGCATCACTCCCGGCGTCCCACGAGGGATCTAACATTCCACTGTAACACTTGTTTTTCTCCAGCTCTGCAAAGTACCACAGTAACTGGTTCAAGCCGCAGGCGAAGGCGAATAACACCAAGGTATAGATAAAAAAGAACTTTACAATGTCGATCACCATTCTGCCCAGCGATATCTAAACAGAAATCACAATTTTCTTTGATTTTATCAAAAATATTACAGAAAAGAAATAAATATTGTACAGTTCTCTGCATTTATTGTGTGTTATTAGAATCAAGATTATTATAATACTACAATTGTAGATGCAGAAGAGATTCTGAAAAAAAAGAGATCAACGCATATACCTAAGAAAAGAGATTTTTGACAAATATGATACCTGAAGCGGCCCCAGGTGTGGATTGATGCTGAAAAGATGGACAAGTTTCAGGGCACTGAAAACATTCGCCGCGGCAAAGAGACCCTCCGCAATCAGTTGCGGATCGAAATCGCCCCAGTTCTCTCGCGGTATCAAAGCGGCGGATGGATCTATTCCTATCTCGGTACGTTGTTGAAGATAAGCCGCCAGTCTGAGAACACCGGTCGCCAGGTAGAGCATGTTTCTGGTAAAGTCGATAAAATTCCACATGTCCCGTAAATAAGACTTTAGACCGTCGATGTATACCTTGAAAAATTTGAAAAGATGCGTCGATTTAGATATATAAATTTAGATATATATAGAAAATACGTAGAAAGGAAAATTAAAGTTAGTTCGTCGAGTATGCTTACCTCTCTTATCTCTTCCCATACGAATCCAAAAACGTAAAGCACGACGATACCTTCGAGAGGAGTAGGAGCTGCGCCCCTTTGCCGAGCTAAATAAGCTTCGAGATTTCTCTTCATTTCCTGAGTGCCTAGAAGTCTAACGATTTCCACTTCCGCACGCTGTGACACCAGCATGAGTATAACTATAAATACATTTATTGTTATGTATCAATTATTAATTAAGTAACGATATATTGCTTTTATTATTTCTCTATAGCATCAATATGAATTTCTAAAATTGTATTTTCTGTTCTATTTACAGTTAGTATTTTAAAATTAAGCTTACATAAAAAGAATAAATAGGACGACGCATGAACTAAAAATTTCATGAAAGGTCTTCGCATAAGTCGTCCAGTTTTTGACTCGGGCATCAGATAGTATATCATACAATAAAATGGAAACAAAACTGCCGTTTTCACAAGAATACCGACTCTTTGCGTGGTTGACATTCTTCGAAATCCGGGAACACCTTCGTACCTTTGAATCAAATTTAAATTAACTGGATTAAAAAATATTTAAAACATTTTTATTCTTCGTGTAATTAATCCAATTAATAAGTTTTAATAATATCGTTTACCAAATTGCTGCCAAGAGTTGTTGAACGTGAGAATGCGAAACGAATCTTTTTTGTTTATATTCAATAGCCTGTTCCAGTCGAGCCAATTGTTTGCTGAGCTCGACATTCTCTTCCTTAGGATCATAATTTAAGATGGTATCCAGTTCCATGGTGGTTCGAACATGTTGCAATAAATCGACCGCGAATCTATTCGGAACGAGATTACGATTATATCAATGTATAAAGAAAAAGTATATCTGGAGAACATTCTCTGCAATGAAAAACTTGCTTTTCCACTTGTCGTCGCAGTTTCATGTATTCGCCTCTACTTTCCGGCTCCGAGATGGCTAATTCTCTGAGTTCCCAGCTCAATCGAAAAGCCGTCATTAGAGGATCCGTAGAGCTCAGAGCTATCAAACTTGGACTCGCTAAAGCTTTGTATTCGGATATCCTGGTGGATGACAGTCTTAATGGATCGCCTAAAAGAGGTGACTTCAATTATCAAAGTAAATTGTTTTCTGTCGATAAATTGTGCATTTTTATAGGTTCTTTATAGTAAAATAAAGTTTATCAGCGTCTCTCTCACCAGTAGCTGCCTGAAGGCAATCATCGCAGCCGCATCTCACATCGTGTGGCATCGGTAAAGTGGCTCCTCTGTCCAATAGAAGCTTTAAGATTTCATAATTATTACGTTGTGCTGCGAGCACTAAGGGTGTCATGTCCATTGGATATCTAGCCGATGCTGGATCAACCTTCTGCCAACTATGGATAATCTCCTTTTCAGCTGCGATCCGAGAAAATGAGAATAGCAAAGATCAATGCAAGAGAATCGTTAAAAATGTTATTTATTGATTCAATTCTAAATGTATACATTTATATATTATTTATCAAAAATTGAATTTCTAATAATTACGACGAATTACTTTCGATGCAATATTTATTTTATGTCATATCATCTATTATTTCAAATAGAATCAAAGTGATAAGATAAAAATTAATATTTGTGTAATATTTCAATTTTGTTTCGATAAACAATTCGGTTTAAATCGATTAAATGATTCGATCCATTGCCTGATAAAGATAGGGGATAGGATCATCATTTATTTCTATACTATTTCTCATTTTATGCACATATAATGTCATATTATATCACACCCGAACATTACGACATCCCTTTTTCCTACATTTTAAAGACATATATGTGCTCTGAGGCAATAATTTTGGGATGAATACGATTTGAATTAATCCCATCCATTGATTTCATATTCTTTCGTTTAGTGGGTCGCGAATTAGTCGCATTTTCACGTGAGATTTAGATTTTACGTTCACAAGTGATTCGACTCAAATCAGTTAAAATTGATACATTCGAATATTGAAGTAATATGCTTTTTTAATATGAATTTGTAATTATAATTTTGCGATTATCTAGATATATTATGCGTGTTAATTTTCCGAGAAAGTCGATTTTGATTTACCATTTTCGATCACTTGATTTGCCGTAAGAAGTTCTTCGTGTTCTAGCAATAGCTCGACCGCCTCTACAAATTCTTGATCGATGGCATGGAGCAAGGCGTCCTTGGTTTCCACTCCCATCACCACGAGCAACTCGACCATCTCTAAATTTTCTGCTTCTAACGCCAGTGTCAAAGCACCACGACCTAAACTGTCCACACAATTCATGTCCAGCTGTTTTCCCTGAAATGATCGAACGTGTATGTCGTGAAAGGTCATTGCTTCATTTTACAAAATTGCTATTAAAATTTTTATCCGCAAAGTGTTTTTTAGATTTTAATCATAGATACATAAAATCAAATAATCAAGTTTAATTAAATTATAATTTTAAATTATAATTTTATCAATATTTTTCTATTTGGAAAGAAGCTGCCTTTCTTATTAAAATATAGAAATCTCTGTATTAAAAAAAAATGACAAACACTTTGCCAATTTATAGTAATTTCTTTTGTTTGTAGAAATAGCTTTGTCCTCGCTTGAATCGGAATTCATGTTTACTTTGCCCTTATTCGCAAGTTGCAGAAGCCTTTTCACATTGGGCAGATCACCTCTCTCCACGGCCAACAGGTACTTCTTCTCCTCGAGGTTGAGTGGACGTGGAAGGTGAAGCACATAATCATCCGTGCTCTCAGTTGTGGCCTCCATGTCCTTCTCGAACTTAACGTCGCTCATCCCGTGAAGTTTATCTTATCTTCGACAACAATTACCTCCACATTTATCCAAGTCGTTCACAAACAACCATCGAAATTATTTTTCTTCTTTTCACCGATATCATGTTAATAAGACATATGAATAGACATGAAATAATCGAGAACGGACTTTGAAAAAGACAAAGACAGAGATCCCTTTGAAGGAGAAGGCGATTTCCTCCCGTGAAGGAAAACGATCGTTACGCTTTTGATTGAAATATTGTTCCATTGGAGCTCGTGGCGCGTGACACTTGTTATATAGGGGATGATGAAAATTAAATTACGCGTATTAACCCAGACCGTGTCTGTTCATCCTGTGAATGCAAGTGGGGCAGCCATCGCCGTCACCGTTACGTCTACGTAACTATACACCTGTGAATAATTTGTTTACCGATATCTTGTTAAATTGTTTACGGATTGCACTTGGAATGAGAACGCGAATGGGTCAAAACGAGGGAAAGCCGACGCGCAAAGTGAACAGACCGCTAGTCGCGACAGCTAAGCCAGATATAATTCCGTAAGGTATTTGTGCATTACATAATATATCGGTAGTGACACACATGAGATGACAACCCCATTCTGCGATCGGTATAATACATATTCCGAAAATATTAGATATATCTTGTCTTATTGTAGCTTCTTTGGCTTTAGATTTGAAGATTTCTTTTTCATAAACGCTAACGTCGGGAGAAATTGATATTTTATTGTTGACATTTTTTTTTATTTTTAACATTGATATTCTTGATTCTCTAAATTTCGAATTAGAATTTCTTATTTGAAAAATTTTGAAATTTTTAAAAATATTATCATCTATTTTACATTTCTGCTTCATTTTAATTATTCGAGAAATCTCGATATTTTTGTGGAATCATAAAAATATCGAAGAAAATCACAAAAATATCGAAGAATAAGAACATTCGATAACTTTGTTCTTCATTTTATTCAAATGGTTCTGAAATTTCTCTAAACTATTTCTATAAGCTATTCAATATTAATAAAGTAGAAATCAAAAGCCGTTAAAATCTGGATATTATAAAATGTTAAAATGTTCGCATCGATATTGGAATCATATAGACGACGAGAAACAGCGGAGAATACCGCGAACGTTGCATAAATATTTGATCCCCTATTGGCACAATATATTCGATGTGGTCATGTTGGGGAAACATTCGAGTTGCAAAGCAAACCACGATGTTGAGAAACAGTGGCCAACAACAGCTTATTAATGGTAGAACATTTAACGATCCTACACGAGAAGGATTCATTATGTGAAAGCCGTATTAAAACCTTTCTTTGTATAATTCATTGGCTTTTCCGTGACGTGATGATAGTGACAATGATGACGCAAGTGAAACAATGCGGTGGATGGAAAGTCGAGGGTTGCATTATAACGAAATGAATGGATCTGGGAAGAAAGTGAAAAGAAAGAAGAGACAGAGATTGTTGGCATAGTGGCTCCGTCTTCTCGGTCACGGTCTTGATGTTTGCTCAGTGTAAAGGATTTGATATCCATCGATCATGAGCCACCCACATCCTTTGACCGGCTCTTTTCGCTTCTTATCCGTTTATCCCTTTTGTCGCTACGTTTTCTAGTGTCTCATTTATATCGCATGTATACAAACCGTTTTAGAGAAAGAGAGAAGCCATCTACTCTATAAAGCACATAGAAAAAGGAAAAGAAAAAGTAAATAGATTGTGACAGTTATTTTATTGCTCAGATAGAAATAATTTTTATAATCGTTTAAGAATTGTTAAGAATTTTTTTTTTAAATTTCAAACATTAAACCGATGATACGTTTATACTTGTTTATACTTGTTTATATATAATTGTTTGTAAATTATGAGAATCAAGATATGTGTAATTAAAATATGTATGTATAATTTAAACATGCTAATGTCATAAGTTAAAAGTCAAAATTGTGCCGGAAAAGTTACAATTAGAAGTGAGCTAATAAAAATATAAGAAAAAACTGTGCACATCGATGAATTAAAAGTCAAAGCGTCAATGATAGAAGATATATATCTCGCTCGTAGTTTTACTTTTTGTTCATAAATAACGTCACTATATAAATAGCGTCGCAAAGAAAGAACGCGACAGGTGAAAGTCGTGACGACAAAATAAGAAGACGCATCTTTCCTCACTCTTCTGCGCCGTCATCCTACGGAAGAGGGAAATCCTTTCAACGACGGCAGGAAAAACACGATCAGTTGGTTGACGACGACAAGGAAAAAGGGGCGACGAGAGGAAATATCCGGGCAATAAATCGAAGCCACAGCAGTGAACGCATTTCAGTGATCTCGTCCTGTCTTCCGGACACATTTCCTGATCGACGTTCACGCAAGTTATTGAAATGACGTCTCGCATTGACGTTTTGAGGATATTATGGTTGCTATTGATTCTCGCAACCCTTCTCGATGCTTCCCCAGCGATTAAAAAGGAACGCAAAGCACCGGTCAATTTTCGGTTTTCCAAGGATCAAAATGCGGAGGCTACGAATCACGGAGGTATGTAATTTTTATTCGCAAGAATACAAAAGAGTTTTTTTTATTGAGAATAATAAAAAGTCAATCAATGTATAAACAAAATTATTTAATATAGAGAAATTATAAAATAAATATCATATATATATATATATTATATTATATTATATTAATTATATATATATTATATTAATTTTAAGAATTGTACATAATTTTGGAATTGATTGCCTTTATATTAGCTCTATAAATTTTTGATAATTTCGATTCTCCGGTGATTTTTAGCTGCAATTTTTAGCCATTTGAGGATTAAAATTGATTCATACATACACGAGATATAAGAGAAAATTTTATCATACATGTATAATTAAATAGAGAAATTATTTATTTATATACTAGAAAATTGGATACAAGTAATATTTATAAATCAGTTATATTTGCATACGTGTCATATTCTCTTTTATACGACGGAAATGTGGACGAGATAACCGTTTTTGACATTGACGAGGGGAAATTCAATCGCGAGAACGAAGCTTTTGCTGGATTACACAGATTTGCCATCGATCGTGCTAATTTATATGCGCCAGAGTATTAGAAGCGTATTCGAACTGTTTTAAAAATATATGGTGAGCGATATATGCGTTTATTGTATTTACTCTTCAATTTTTTCTTTTTCGCGCGCGCGTTCAAATTTATTGTTATTTTCCTTTTCTTCTGCTTTAAAGTTAAAATAATTCTGTTATTTATAAGCAGCATAATAATTCTAAGCAATATATGCATTTATTATATTATTATATTTACTCGTCAATTTTTTTTTCGCGCGCGCGTTCAAATTTATTGTTATTTTCTTTTTCTTCTGCTTTAAAGTTGAAATAATTCTGTCATTTATAAGCAGCATAATAATTCTATTATTTATAAACTTTACGGAATTTACAATGCGTTTGTAGAGTAACAGTGTGAGTTGATTTACAATATATTAAGAAAGGTAAAAGATTGAAATACTCTGCGTAATCTTATAATGCGAAGCACAATTGATAATAAGCTTCCCACGCGCACTTCCATTTTTCGTCAAACGAGCAAAGCGGAGCTAATTCCGTCTCCGATATTTCGCGTCGATGTCATCTCCCTGAAGAGAAAATATAATATCTTCAAATATATACAGCCATCTTTTTGAATCATGAGAGGCACCGTGAGAGGCGAAAGTTGTACAATAGAGAGTACAGCACGGTTCTCAAGAGTAAATGATCTTCTTCTCAATGTAAATCGAGAGGCTCGTTAAACGCGGCCTTTATATTTTACTCCGTTGATGCTGGCAGCTTTATTTATATTTTATTCGAAAACAGGCGGTGACAGACATCACGAAGAGAGTGCCGGTTCGAAACACGAAGAGGATCACCACGACACGCACGGTCACAAAGGCGACAAGGTATAACGCTCTTCGTTCTCCCGACGACCATTGACGTTCAAGCCGTTGTCATCGACGTCGTCGACGGTTTCTTTCTTTTTTTTTTATCGTCCGTAATATAGGAGCTCCCTTTCTCTCCCCTGCGCCACCGCGGGAATATTTATTACACGGTCGTTTTTGCACGAATATCGCTCCCGAGGAACGAGACAGACTTCTCGGTCTATATAGATATATATTTCGCGCGCAACTATTAAAGTATCTTACCTCTTTGTGTCGGTATCGAATGTCCCCGATATCGCTTTATGTTCCTGAATCTCTCTCATTATTATTATCCTGAAAATGAGCGAGGATTTCATTCTTTATGTCGAAATTGACGTTCTAATAATGTCACGTTCCTGTCACTTTTTCATGAAACGGAGACTTTGGCTCTGTGGATCCCGCAAGATAAATGTCTCCCGTTTTTCTCTAATGTCCCGTTATTATCGGATCGATCCTTAACGGCAATCCGTAATATTCAATTTCTCGTTTATGTTAGAAAATGTTATGTAACTGTTCAATAAAATATATCTCTTGATTGGGGGGAAAAAGGGTTACAAGGCTTTTCACGAGTTTGAGAAAAGCGATAAGGGCCATCACGACAAGGAGAAGCACAAGCACGAATATGACGAGGAAAAGGGCGAATCGGACAAGAAGCACGAAGAAGCTGGACATTACGGTCAGGAGCATCACGGTGAGGAGGGCGAGAAGGATGCGAAGTTCGGCGAAGAAGGGAAGCACCAGAAGGGATACAGTACGAAAGGAGAACACAGCGTCTTCAAGAAGGTACGGGTCACGTGATGCATGTCGTTTCTCGTCGTTCGACGAAATTAATTTCTTTTTAATAATATAAGACACGCGTGTTCTTATTTAAAAGACGCATTGATCGCGATTTTTTCATAATACCGAAAAATACGATAAATACTTGTGCAGACATTAGAGCTTTTCGAGATTACAAGATCAAGTGTACATAAGGCTTCTGTTTTTGATTTTCAGAATTATTCTCTGGGCTTCTATATGTGACGATCTTATATGTGATATAATATCTGATATAATGTAATTTCAACACATTACGTTACGCACATATTAATAAATCGTTTTTGAAATTGTGTTGATTTCGTCCACATAGTCGACGCAATTTTGCTATCGACATTACAATAACAATTAATTAAATTGAATTGTTTTTTCAACGCTTTATTGTAAATATGAATTTTATTAAATGTGCTAGTTTGTAGAAAAAAAAAATTATTTAATTATATTTTTAAAAACAAAATAATACAAGTTAAATTTTCTCTAAATATATTTTTTTCTTAATTTTTTGGATTAATATATAAATTGTTGTTTTTCAAGGATGAATATGAGAAGAAACATGATTTTTATGACGAGTATCACGAAGACGGAGGAAGCGAAAAGCATGGTGGTTGGCACGAAGAGCATGAGGGCAAAAAGGGTGGCCATGAAAAGAAAGGCCATCTGCATGCGGGACATCACGAGGTAATTAAAATAATTAAATAATGAAAATTATTTTCTGTATCATTAAGATGCTTACATTTGTTATATAAATCGGTTTTTAAAATCATGATGTAATTTTTTATTTCAAGGGACATCGCGGGTTGGAAAAGAAACATGACGGAGGCCACCATCATCAGGAAAAGAAAGGTCACAAATCAGCCGAGGGACACGAGAGCCATCACGATCATCATGAGAGACATGGTCACAAAGGCGGTCACGCATCAGGGCACAAATTTTCGAAATCAAATCATTAATGACAGACGACACGAAATTTATTTTTACATAATTGTTGAACGCAATTGTTTCGCTTATATCTATTTTAAAAACAACTTCGTGGTCGAATCAAGGCGGTACATTTGGAATAATATTGAATGGCGTATATCAAATGCGTCAAATTTATCAAAAATTATGATAACAATAATATTATTCTTGTCAAGAAAATAATATACGAGAAAGTAATATAATTTGCCTGCAGGGATTTTATAGTTATTATATAATTAATAAGTTTTATTTTATTTAATATACACATATATATTTTATAATATTTTTTATTGATAAAAATAACGGTAAGCAATTAAGTAACATAAAGATATTTAATATATTAAGCGTATAAAATGTGAAAATGTCTTTAATAAACACAACATGTCTTTAATAATCGTCTATCTAGACTGCGAAAGTGTACAAGTTTCGAATGTAACTTTGTTTCATTTATTTTATCGCAGTGATTGAGAAAGTGAAAATCTTAGAAAAAAGCGTAAAATTAGTGGTCGCGCTTCGATGCGTGTTAGTATTGTATATAAACAACACTCGCACATTTTAACGCAGATGTATGGCATCGAGGAGACCTTGAGAGTCTTCCTTTTCTTTAACAATATAAAAGCATAATTTCTATTTTATGAAATGTTAGAGAACTTTGATATACAATTGTAATGTTATTTTAATGAAAAATTGGAAAATCATTTTTTATATTAGTATTATTTGTAATAGTGCTTATCATAAAAGTATTAAATATTACAGATTATTGGATAAATTCTAAAGGAAAATATTTGAATCCTAATTTAATAAGTAAACAACCTTTCAAGAGATCATATTTCGTGTGAAAATTTTAATTTCGATTAAAGTAGACAGATATTCAGATGAAAATAATTAACGCAAAAATTAATAATAAATTACAATAAATTTATTTATAATTATATATAAGTGAAGTGAACAAGAATTATTAGTTTATCGGAATTATGTGACACGTTCAATGATTTATGGAATGTAAAATAATCGTAATTTTGTATATAAGTCTTTGTAATAACATAAAATAATTACATAATTATAAAAAGAATATATTTCTGTGTTACAATATTTATATTCTTATAAAAATATACAATAAAATTATTTTCATCGTGCCAATTATTGTCATTATAAATCTTCACGTGGAATATGTGTTATTGCTTCACATAATGTATGATGATTCTGTAATTAATGTACGAGCGGTATTGAGATAGGAGTATCCACAACGTATAGTATATAATCCTGCTGTAAGATTGATATATTACCAAGGGAATTGATCGCAAAGCGCGATTGTGCTTGATGACTCTATTTTCTGGTGAATTTACTCGACGATCAAACTTACTCTGGCAATCGATTACTGTGTGTGCAGTTGATCTGCTGGTATTACACGCAATGATTGGTTTGGCGCTTATCCTTAACACTTACGCAAATTTACTTGATACTCTTGGCGCAATTATTCCCTAAGTTTATCACAATTCCACGATTATATGATAAACAATGAAATATCACTGGCAAGAATAATATATGTAAAGTAATCATTTAAATATCACACTTATTTTAAAAAATTTTCTATTTCTGGAGATACAATACATCCGCATATTATTTCTAAAAAATTTATTTATTATATAAATTGAAGAATTCTACTTCTAAATATATTATATGACGCTGAAAAAGTTCAATAAAAACTCTGTATACGTGATGGACTTTTTGTTTTATCTTAAAAATAAAGAAACTACTATAGAAAGATTAGAAGAAATAAAAAGGAATTATTTTGTTAGATTTATGTGTTATTTCTATTATTATATTACTAAGAAAGATTTAAAGTTTGCGACATCAAAAGAAAAATAAAGCGTTTCATTTGGCGACATATTTTTCCAAGTTTCTTATCTCTAAATTATACAATGTCGCATTCTAATAAGAATATACGTGAAGAAATGTCGCATATAATGAAACCAGTGCGCATTTATTCGTCTTGGTGAATACTATCGAGACGATAAATCTCGTGAAAATTGTACTGCGAGATTGTTAAAGATGACCGTTAAAGTTTACCCGTGCAGGATTCATTGTGGGTGGGAAAAAAAGTCGGAGTCGTTTTATGCTCGTAGGTTTTATGACGTAGATACATGAATTCTGCTCTCCGTCCCTCGACAAGTCGAGCGAGAAAATAACTGTACGATTCTCCAGTCACGTATCAATACATCATCGATTTATATGATTCTATACAGAGTATCTCGAATAATCTTTCATCTAGATTCTTTGATTAATTAGAAATTGATTTTTCCTCGAGAAAATAACCGTACGATTCTCCAGTCACGTAATGTCAATACATCATCGATTTATATGATTATATACAGAGTATCTCGAATAATCTTTCATCTAGATTCTTTGATTAATTAGAAATTGATTTTTCCTCAGCGAGAGAAAATCTCAAGAGAAATCATCACTTGTCGTAAATTTCCTATTTCTAATTTTAAATGCCCTTACAATTAATTCTGATAAAATTAAATTTACTCGAAATTAAAGAAGAGAAATAAGATTTCGTTTTTGCAATTTAATTTCTTAAAAAGTCGCTTTTTTTCATTTATAATTGCTTAATAATTTAAAAATTATTTGTCACTAAATATGTAATTTAATATGTAATAATTTGTCACTAAATATAATTTTTTGTTGGATAATTAATTGCACATTAATTGAAAAGAGAAAATAATCATACAATAAATATACATAAGATAGAAAATAATCTATAGATGGAAAATAATCTATATACATAAATTAAATCAGAAATTAAATTCATAAAATCCTATGATAGATTAATAATTGACGTTATAGTTTATAAAAAAATAGTAAATAAGGAATTAGATTTATCAGAACTATAATTATTTCGATATTTCGAAATACCATTGTATTTTCAAATCAAATTTCAATTCACCGAGGTTTCGAAACAGCTGTGTCGAGACAACAGTTTACATAACGCATTCTTTTTAATTACGACTTTTAATTAAGACACAGTCTGGGGTTGCCGAGTCTTTGAAGGTATGCAAGCAAATTGTCCTATTTAGGCTTGAATGCACGTAAAGTTCGATGTAATAATCGCGTGAAAAATCGAGCCACGAAACTTCTTTTCACTTTGGCTGACATAATCAATCTCAATTTCGCCTAACCGAATGAAATTCTTATATATATTTAAGATCACAGCTGTTATTTTAAAATTGTTTTAGGGAAAAATTATTCTAAAATTGACTTAAGAAGATAATATTAAAGAAAATAGAAAAAATATAGATCAATTTTAGATTACGGAAGAAAATGTATATATGTACTGAATGATATATAAAATTGAAAATTGCTGTATATATGTATAATATTAAAATGCACAAAATTTTTCAAAATTTATTTTAGAAACATTGTAAAGAAAAAGAGAAAGAGAGAAGAATGAGACGATAAATCAGTTCCGTTGTTATGTCGGTCTAAAATAATGACTTGTGGTCCATTCTTTCCATTATATATTCAATCACCGCTCTAGCGGGATTGTAATTTGCCTCCCCCTCTTTCCTTCAATACTTTTTGAAGTAATAATCTACGTAACGGCTAAAACCGCAGGAGATCGTGTGTGACTTTATCGCGATGCGCGCCACGTTCCGGTTGCCAAGATGCATTAGTAATCTTGGACCGGATTACGAAGAAGAATCAGCATTATGACTACGCGGAAATGTAAAATTTTACACGATGAATGGGTTTGTCAGTGAGAAATATTTGATTTCCGTTGATCAATATTGCAAATAATTTGCGACATGCTGCGTTCCACGCGAGCGCGGGACGACGTTACGCTCTTTCGTATGACAAATCGACCAACGCAAGCGCAAAATATTGCATACATAAGTGTTAATGTGTAGCAACCGTCGAGAGATAAATAAAAATAACGCGAAAGAAATCGCATGAAGATAAAAATTATCGAGGGAATCGCAATACATAGCGTGGGTACATATTTTGCATATCCGCGGATATACATATTTTCCGCGTGTTACGATACCCGATCGCGTAAAAAGCGCGGCGCGTTGCGCAAGGCATGTTAATAATGACACTAAATAATGAGAGACCGGGATGTGCTTTCAGATCGGCTTCGGCCGAGTGACGATAATCTTGTGCAACCGACAGAGAAAGGAGGAAGCCGAATACGAGGAACGGATCAATCGCAGGGCCGATTGTTGGTTCCTTCCACACTCTGAAATATCTAATCGCTGTGAAACTGTCATATCATTCGCGAAAGGTTCTTCTGATAGAGAAAACGACACGATATAATTGCCCGGCCGCGTCAAGATCGCGGTTCAGTCTTTGTCGCGGACTCGACGAGTCATGAAAACCTACCGGAAATCGGTAGCCACGGTGCTACCATTGTTGATTCACTTGGTAATATTTCGATAATGATTTTTAAGATACGTCTTTAATAGAAAATGACATGAGGACAAAGAAGAATATAAAGATAATTAATGCGGGTTTAAATAATTATATTGCAGTAGCGTATATCGTATCGTTGTGTAATGATATATACGTACGGTTTACCACGAGAGTAATCTGAAATAAATAATCCGCAGTAAATGTGCAAACGAGAGGGCTGCCAGCAGCAAAGGGTGGCGGCGTGTTTATGTCAACTTTTAATTAAAGCATTGAAGCGACGGGAAATATAGTGGTGTAGTGCTCAATATCGTGAAATATTATACGGGATCTTGTCCGAATTGACATCAATCTAATTAACATGCGTGACATATTTAGCAACAATAAATTTTATTGTATTTATGTGAGACCGATTATCGCGTGAATAAATATAACGAAATAATGAAAGAAGCATATCTCATATTATCAACTTTTCAAATAAATAAAATTTGATTGATGCTTTGTAATGATCTCTCGTAAAATAATGCTTGTATAAAATAATGTTTGCAAATTAAATTACTTGTTTATGATATCAAAGTTATAACATGATCGATGTGTTTGCAGCTAACGTTACGAATCGGTGACGCCGTACGCAATGACACGAACGTCGAAGTTGATCCCAAAATTATTCTGGAGGAAGTGATTATCACCGGGAATGGCAATGATACTCGCGTAATAGCGAACGCGGTGGCGGAAGATGCCTCGACGATCAGCGACCAGATACTCTCGCTTTTAGCGAAGCGCGAGAAACGACAAACCGGACACTCGAAGGAGACGTCGTCGAATTTGGATCAGGACGCGGCGCAATCGCGCATCGCCGACGTGAATGAGGAGGACGTGGAAAGGCTGAAGCGCGTGATCGCGAAATACGAGCCGCAGAGGATCACATCGAGAAAAACCAAGAGGAAAATTGTCAACGGTGCTCACGGTAAATAAAACGAGATTACTTTTTTTCTCTCGACACGGCAGAAGTAAGGACATTCCATATATCGGAGAGACGATCAATTTCTATATTTGTTCTTTAGATGTACCACAAGGCAAGCCGACGGGGTCAACGACGAATCTCGAGAGGACTTATGACGAAGTGCTGCGAAACATATCGCGAAGGGCGCCCGAATTGACGTCTAGCAACGTTGACGCGACATTGAATCCTTATTTGTCTCAGGCGAGAAAGAATCTGAGAGAAGTTTACGCGCCGAAAGCAAGACTCCTTCCTGCGAATGACGACGAAGCGGAAAAGTCACGTCCCGATATTGACTCTTCGCATACACCGCCTATCCTAAGAGACAAAAAGAGCAAGAAATTACTTAAAAAGTATTCGCAACTAAATCGCACCGTTACAACTCCTCAGAGTTCATCGGACGAGGAGTCAAGGCTCAACGAAGAAAATTCTGACGAATCAAGCACTCCCGAAAGATATTTCAAAGTTTCCAATAGAAAGACGAAGCCGAAAAATGAATCGCTGTCCATCGAATCGTCATCAAATATTTATTCCGAGAAGCCAACCGAAGAGCCTGAAGGCGAACGGAACGTTCAAAATTCTTCGATTCAAACCGTATCTCCACAATTGAACAATAATAATTCACACAACGTCTTCAACGTAAATAACTTGAACAATTTGAATTTTCCAAGTGATACAAATACCATTGAGTTACTGTCGAGATATAACAGGATGCCCAGGCCGTTCTCCGTATTGCAAGCGTCCGATTCAGCTGTCGGAATACCGTACAGAAAACCGACTCCCTCACCAGCGAGTTTCAATCGTCAACAGGTTGTCCGTTCTTCCGCCAATATTCTTCCGCTGATTGTTCCAACGGAGACTCTTTTCGATGCGCCTGCGGCACGTCGTTACGTCCCGATAAAGTACGCTCAATACCCCAAACCTGAGGGAGATTCCACAACGATCGTCAATACCGAGACGAGTCCGGTGACGAGTCCCGCGGACGACAGAACCACTTTTATAAATTATGGTGTGCCTTATACAGACGTAATCGGCGTCACGAAAAGTCCCGTCAGTGATCAGCGAAGGACATCGTCGGATTATCATGCCACTACGGAAAATCCGACGAAGCAGATTATTGCGAGAACGGATTCTGCGAGATCGATTCATGTTCCAAGTCAAACCTCGTTCGCTCTTCAGCAAGAGAAGGATCCGCAAGTCGTTCGACAAAATGAATTTCTACCTAGGATTACCGCCTATGATAATCCCGCCGACGAAAAAGCGAAATTAAACGCGAATGCCGAACTCGCGTTGTATAATAAATTCGCAAGCTTGTATTCGGTACCTAATGTACTTAATGTGCCGAAGGCAGTCACGCAAAATTATCAAAACTTTAAGCAACCGGTGCAATCGTTGCACCCGGTAACTTCGCAGTACGTTTCCACTCCTTCTTACGCAACTTTGAAACCTATTTCTCCCCCGATGCTGAAAATCCGACCGATTGCTCCCACTAAACCTGCACTCGCGCCATATTACGATAGCGAATTGTTCGTATCGCAGAGAACAGAAGGAAAAGAACTTGATGACGATAAAAAAAATACAGAAAATGTCGAGGTAAAGGAGCCTAGTGCTTCAGACGTGGACGAGAGTACAGAGGCTGCTGATAGTAAGAATTTTGAAAATCATAAAGCTCAGATCAATCACGGAGCTTCCAAGAGTCACAAGACACTAAATGAACAACGTAAGAAGAAGAATCACGAAGAAGAAGATACAGAGAATCATTATCAACAACCGAAACTCACTTATGACTATCAGGAAAAAAATAAATATTACGAGTATGATAAAAATAGTAAAGATGATAAAAATGATGATAAAGGCGAAAAATACAATGTTCGACATGAAGATAACAAAGATGAAGAAGAGGAAGCCGACGAAGCGCAAGGAGATGAATATGTCAATATCGAAAAAAGTGAAGACAAGCGTAATCATGGTCATCAGTATAATAAACATGAGTACGATAAAGATGATTCTGAAGAAAGAGAACGTGAGAAACAACGTGACGATCGTAAGAAACATGATAAAGAAAAGAATCCTCGCGATGAAACTGACGATCATGAGGCTGACGTTAAGCATAAATTTATAAGTATCAATAAATACTTTGACGGTCCACGATATAGCGATTACGAAACTCGCGAATCCAATGAGAAATATCGCGATCGGAAGAAACTGGCTCGTGATAAGAAGGATCGGGATGAAGATTCCGAAGATGAGAGCTTCGCTGAAGATCAGCTGGTTGCTCGACGCTCTAAAGACGACCGTGCTCGTAGACAGCGCGAAGAATACGAGAAGAAACAAAATAAGGATAAAACGACGCAAAAGCGCAAGCATCATCATCATCAGATTATCCCCCGAAGAGATTCGCACGAGCAATATAGCGAAACTAATCCTAAGCACGTTCGCGAGGAATATCGACAGCCCCAAGGTGATGCTCGTAGACACGATAGTGAAAATGCTAATGAGAAGACACGTGATCACGAACACGGCGAGACTCAGGAACACAGCGAGACTCATAAACATGAAGAGCATCACGAAAAGAAAAAGGACGGGGGAAATCACAAATTTGAGGAGGGCGGAGGCTCGGAACATAAAGAGGAACATCACGGACACGAGGGAGACAAGGGGCACAAAGTAAATTACTCTGACATCGCGTTTTTATCGCGTCGAATTTATATCAAATTTTATCAATTTTGCTAATAATACATGTCTTTACAGGGTTATAAAGTTTGGCACGAGCATGAAAAGGCCGACAAGGGGCATCACGACAAAGAACATGCCAGCAAGGAGTACGATGAGAAAGATGGCGAGGAGAAGAAGCACGAGGAGGAGGGTGGGTTCCACAAAGAGCATCATCAGGGCGAAGCGGGCAAGAAGGCAGCAGAGTTTAGCGAAAAGGGTGAACACAATAAAGGACACAGTACGCATGGCGAGCACTCGGTGCACAAAAAGGTGAGAGGCGAAGAAAATTAAATTTCTAGTAGAATAAAATTCTTTTAAGGATGTTTCGTACTTATTTTCAAAATATTGAGAATTTAATGAAAATTGCACAGAATGTTCTTACATGTGTTTAGAATCTTCAGTAGAATTTTTAAATCGATTTACTAAAGCGTTCACAAGTTATAAGGATTTTAATTTGCACCGAATTAACATGTGTTCTTATGGGAAACGTATAACCACGTCGATTCAAATGACAAAAACACAGGGAAATAATATTCAGAATTTGTTGAAAATTTGCAAAAGTTTAGATACAGAGAAAATATTTGATCAAATAATATTATACAAGTGCTAACTGATTAAAAAGATATTAAAATAAAATAAACAAAGTTAAAGGCTCCTCTAAATTAACAAATCAATAATAAATAGTAAAAGGCAGTAAAGAGCCAACGCAGTTGTAGGGCGTGGATAAAATAATTTCCAAGACAGCAAATCAATTTTTAACGATCCTTTCGCTTTATTCCAAACGTTTCGGACTCAATTCGAGCCTTCTTCAGTGATTCTAATAAGCACAAAGAAAAGATAAATAAATCAACTGAGGAAAAAATAAGAACACAATATCAATAAATGCAAAAGAGAGGAAAAAGCATAGTCACATGTATGCATGATCTATAAGAGCGACGCGACTTCGTCAAAAAAGATATTAAATATAATTCAATGAAGTTAGCCATGTATCTGTCATAAGGTGAAATTCTCTGCCAAAAGTTAATCATTTCGATTAACAAAATTCGGAATATTTCAGTAAAAACGCAGTAAAAATAAAAAAATAAATTAAAAAATATAGCACTGTAGCTAAGAACAAATTGTATTATTCCACACAATTTCTCATATTCAAAATACACCAAAAGTGGATACATTTGTCAATATTGATTTTCAGCTACTTTTTGCTGGGTATACAAAACATCCTTAAACGATATGATGATATATTTTATTGATATATTCTAATTTATACATAGGACGAATACGAGAAGAAGACAGAGTTCTTCGACGAATTCCACGAGGATGGTGGCATGGAGAAGCATGGCGAGCATCATCACGAACACGAGTCGAAGAAGGGCGGCCACGAGAAGAAGGGCCACCACGATGCCGCCGATCACGAGCATAAATACGGCAAGGAGGAGAAGCACGAGAAGGGGGGTCATCATCACGAGCATAAAGGCCATAAAGTCGACGAAGGCCATGATCATCATTACGATCACGATGAAAAGTACGGCAAGAAGGAGGGGCACGAACACGGGAAAAAGTGGAGCTTCAAGAAGGGCAATAACGGTGGTGACGCTCATAATCGTTGAGGAGGATCTTAATAATAATGAACAGATGGTGGTTTTGCAATTAACATGATTGTGCTCGTGATCTCTGATATTGCGGAACGGGTCAGTATATCGTGTGTCCGAATTATCGTTGATATCGATCACGTTTCTAATCGGCACGTTACACTTTAGAGAGGGAGACACGTCGCGTGCTATCTCGTCGTTACCTATATTGATCATCTAATAATTGAGACACGGTATATTGTATGCGACGCTTTTAGCTATATATGGTTATCTATTTAGTTTCAATTAAGCAGGAGCGAGAGAGATTATTGAAGAAATGTCGCAGTAAGCTCTGACCGTAGCGAAAGTAACTGATTGACCTTCGCGAATTAAATTTCTTAGAAACCTGGGAAACTCGTACAAAATATCGCGCAGATAAATGTTCATTTTTCCAATTTATTTTCGTTCGAATGTCTCATGGCGTATATAATTGAAAGTAAAACTAGGATTAAAATTTGAATGATGTAATTAAGGAATTACTCTATGATCATTAATGATAATGACGATATTATAGATCATTAATCATAATATTATATATATCATTTGATATTTTTTTCATTATATCTCTCGATATTACTTATAATATTCTCATATCAGTATAAGACATGTGTAATAAAGACATGTCCATGTTAAAAAACGACAATTTTCAATACTGTTATAAAAGACTTTTCAGAATTATATTTCTAATTATTTGACATTATTTTACAGATATTTCGATCATTGAAATGATGCTTCGACAATGAGATATCCGATGGATATCGCATTTATTATCGATTACTTCCAATTAGAAAGTAATGTAATTAATTAGAAAGTAATACTTCACAATTGTACGCAATTGAAGATGCCGATCTACTTTGCTAAAACTGCAATTTTTTTCACTTTTGTCCTAATCTCTTGTCTTCTTATTTACGTTTCATAAAGGAGAGTGGCCTCACTTTATGTCGCGTTAAAAGAATTAATATCCACGTGGGAATACAGAAGAGTGCCATTTACGTCTCCTTAGCGTTCGAACGAGAGGAGACATTGAAGAATTTCTCTCCTCGAATGCCTATAAAAGTTCTCCAAAAGAGACGCTTAACGAGAACGATCGTAAGAATTAATCGCACGAGAGATGCACTCCCGTTCTCGATCTCCTCATCCGTCGTCCTCTGATAACACGCTCTTTCGTCTTCCCCGTCTCTCCGAGCGCGAGTATCGATCGGTCGCGTGGCATTCAACGCGGAATCGCGGGAGGAATTTCAGCAAGAGAGAGAAAGAGAGAGACAGAGAGAGAAAGAGAATCGCGCGGATGCGAACGACAGACGATTTACGACCCGCACTTTATTAAAAACGTTATCAGTCTCCCTGACAGTCGCGATGAAGGATCTTAAAGAGTAAGAATTAATATCGGAGCATCGCTAATGATCGAGATATCGACCGGCGACCTTTCGCGTCGGCTGCGATTGACGCTGCCCGGTGTTTAAACCACTGTGGGAATCGACCAGCGGCTTCGCAAGCTACGTCCATTATTAAACTATGCTTTTACGGGGACGCCGAACTATGCGAAGTGCGAAGGGCCCTTTTTTTCTCCTCTTTATCGCACATTGCACTCATACACCGGCGCTTTTCATGTAGGGTGGAATGTATCGAATTATCGATTGTATCCGTGATAAAGGACAAGTTGAGATGCATCCCTAATAATGCCAGTTTAAATTCTTGAAAGGGAAAAAATACGATGGCGGATATGCATGTTTTTGAAATCGCGCCGGATTCCTAGAGAATCTCAATTCTTGGCATTGCTTGTCGCAAGAATTATTCGTCTATATATTCGTCTATATATCCTCGCTTTTACTGTAATAATTCAAAATGTGAGAAAGTCTTGAAGAAAGAGGGAAGTGGAAATTTGAAATGGATCCCCTTTTTCTCTTTTGTATAAAAGCTTTTCAAGTGAATACTATATGCATCGATATATATTGTATGTTTATAAAATCTATCTTTTAGCTTATGTATTTTTAAATTCTCTTCTAAATTAAGTTCTATAAACCAACTTTTTCCAAAACATCCATTTTAATGCATCAATTCAATTTGCTTTTCATCAGTTTTCAATAGAAATATACGTGATATTTCTATTTTCCTTGAAGCATTCATGTATGAATATCCTTTAAATTTATTTGATTCGATATTATAAATCTCTCTATTCATAACGTTAATAACGGTTACAATGCAATATAATATTGAAAATGTTACAATTATTCATATTCGTAAGTATCTAAAATTATATAAGTATGTACTTCGAACCCAACAAAGTCCTCAACGCAACAGGTCATGCATATTCGGTGGTATATCGCAAATAATTGTTCGAAATAATTAATTAAAAATAAATAATGTTAGAAACTATATATAGCAATTTTTATCCGCGTATCTTAATAAAATTAGGATATGAAACATTCGAGTTTCTTAATTATTTTTTGAATAATCAAAAATATACTGTAAATATAGAAAAAAAAATAATAATGCATCCCACAACGCGCGTTTACGCGAAATATATCTTTATCAAATGTAACGAGAATCTATCGAATTTTTCGCTCATATCTATTGGATTCTCCTCAATTTCATCAGTCAAAATTTTCGCGCTATTGTCAGAAAGATGTAAATCTTTCTTTTCACCGACGCGGACACGCAAATATTCCACCTCTGGCGCGGATTTTTCTCGTTTTCTGCGAGATATCTGAACTTTTCCGTGGACAGAACTTTTATGACAATGAGCGATAAAGAATCTGGCGAACGAACATCCTCACGTTTACGAGCGATTTAACAGGAAATCTCGCGGAAATCTCGCGATGAAACCGCACATGGTTGATGCGTAATGTATCCACCGCATGGCGAAAACCATAAACGCGCTTAACCATATCATGTGGCTTATGGGGAAACTTTTGTCCGACGAGATCTGAAATTTCTTGCGCGCACGCTTGTGTAGCGACCCTTCGCGAGATGATATCGTAATTATAGGGACGAGATTCTTCGGAGAAAGTGTTGTAAAGCGGAAACGAAGAAAGTGAATTTCTCCGAGAGACGAGATTAGAAAAGCGCAGGGGGCGTAATTTAATGAGAAAGCAATCTCCCCCTCGTTTAAAAGAGAGATTTAAAATATGCCAGGCTGTTGGTTTATACTTGCGATAGAGGATCTTGTAATAATTATTTCTCAACTTTCGCCAGTAACACCGTCTGCCCTTTTACAAAAGCGACAGCTCTTCGCTCGCTGCATCTTTATCACGTGGAATATATGACGCGTTTCAATAAAGGTCCTACCTTATTCATGTCGTCCTTTTTAGGGTGAATTTCCTATAGAACTCTGTTCACGATAGTCGCACGCAGTTAAATCAAAGTGGCGCTCTTTACTCGCGAGGGCGAAATGACCGGATGTAACGTCCAGCGCGCACCGGAAGTTCGTTATACAGAAATACACAGGACTCGAGAAACCTACGACTCTCTTCGCCGTTCCTCTTCATCTTCGTCAAATTCGCTGCTGCAATTCGGCAGTGCATGGATCATGCGTCGTCTCATCGGTCTCACGCATACACGTGCACGCGGAGATGTCGCTTCGAGAAAGAAGAAAGAGGAAAGAGAGAGAGAGAGAGAGAAAGAGAGGAGCAAGGAAGGGTGGCACGCGAACCCCGAAGGGTGAGAAAGACGCGTGGGGATCTCCGATCTCGGGGGCACACACGCACAGGCGCCGACGCACACACGTATAAAGGCCGGCGTCGCGACGCTCTCGCCGTCATTCTCGCGCGCAGACACCCAAGTCGCGGTACCTGTCGTCGGTCGTCATCGGTGACTGACGGAAGACACCCTCGTAATCGCAATTCGTGAGAACAAACGGGAGAACCGCTCGTGCGAACGAGAGTTTCGACCCCAGGAACGCGACAGGAAGCCTTCCGTCTTCTCAACGGCTTTGAAGAGATACCGCGTACCCTTGTCTCGCCTGCAGAGCCTACCTGCAGGAAATCGCGCCGATAGTTTCACAGCAACAGGTGAGCAGTTTATCTCAAGGTGCGTCCCTTTTTTGCGTGTTTTACTCGCTTTTTAAACGTGTTATTTTTTTATCTTTTAATGAAAGTTGTAATTGCATCGTCGTAATTATATATTTTTCCATGCGAAGTTTAAATTTTCTCTCTCTCTCTCTCTCTTTCTTCTCTTTTGCACCTGTAATTTAATGTATTATAAAATGATCGATTTTGAATTTTATTTATCGGACATCCGCGCGTTTCTCCTCTACTCTTACTCGATGCAGTCAAACTAAAGAAAATTTGTTGCGAGCAAGTAATGCATTACAGATTTGATCGAGTGTTATATCGATAGTGGGGGGACAGAAGGGATGAATGCAAAGTGAGTTTATTACGTGAATATATGTATATACGGTTTTATGGCAAAAATTTTCATTTATACAATAATGAATATATATTTTAATTTTATTCTCTTCTTCATTTTTTTTCTTTACTTTTCTTTTTTGTTTTAATTTTTTGTCATATAGTAACAGATTTTCATCATGGTTCGTTTTATCGTTTCTCCGTATCATATTTTTTAATCCTTTATAAGCTGATCATCTTTTTAATTAGTTCACTTTTTTATATTATTTTGTGCAAAAGAGTAAATATTATTTAAATTAAATATATAATTAAATTTCACCAATAAAAAGATTTATTTACTTATCCGACTTTTGTTAATAACGCAAAATACTTTGCCATGATTATATTTATTTTAAGTAATAAAATTATTAATCTTTTTAAATTGTAATTAACATTTATGTCCCTTATTTCGATAACAAAGCATTTGCGATCATATGATCATATGAACATTTTGTTATTCTTTTTTATCTAGGGACCCGCTCACAAATTTTTAAAACATAGTTTTGATTCACCCTATATAATTTACACATTAGGTATTTTTATATAATTTATGAGAGAAAAAGAGAAGAAAATAATTTTTACTTTTTTTTCATTTATTACTTACGAGCAGTTCTGTAAAAGTAGTAGCAACAGGTGAATGAGATTTAAGAACAAAGTTTCCAAAGTTCATACATCTTTACTTTACTTCATTAATTACGCTCATCTTTTACATTGTGCGAAATAATGCTGCATTGTTTTTTTTTATTTTTTATTCATTTAATTTTTCATGTTACAAATATAATAAATTAAATAATTGCATTTTCGGAGCATATTATATATTGTATTTAATTAAGTTTAATTAAATTTAATTAAATTTATCAACAAAATTATGAAAAATATAAAAAAATGCGAGAAAAATGTGGAACATATATACATTTTAAGGTAGAATTGTTAATTTAGTGATATAATTGCACTTTAGCACAAGTAAAATGAAAGAAATAAAAAATTAAAAAACTAGGAGTATATCGCACAAATGTTACTGCATTATTCTTATCGTATTTAATTTTTATACATGTTTGCTTTTAATATTTCCTCGCAATTTATTATTTCTGGGAAATGTTACATATGGTTGGTATTTGAAAAAATATCGCTCCATTACGATATTACATACATATTACAAGATAAAATTATGAAGCACAACAGAATTTTATTACTTCTCACAAAAATTCAAGAAAAAGCTATTATTTAAGTTTAATTTTCATTTTTTTTACTACATTTTTTATCTACATTTATATTTTTTATTAATTTTATGGGTTTTGCTAAATTTCAAATTTATGTAAATAATTGTACAAGTAGGCGTATCGTGGGCAGTATAAAAAGTAATGTTTAAAAGCATATATAAATACTTTTGAAATTAATATTTATTATAGAATTGTCATTTTTTTATATGCATTTTTGAAAAATAGCATGCTATATGTATGCTTTTTCAGAAAGTTTTTTATTACATTTCCTTAATGTAAGAATTGCGAATATCTAGAGAGTTTTATTTATTCCTAAAAAAAGAAAAAATGAAAAATTTTCTACAAAATCGCAATAACTTTTTCCGATGCACGCAATAATGAAATTTAATTGATTAGGATTCATCTTCGGAAAGTGGAAACAAAGATTTCGCTGATGATCAGTCAGTTTTTTAAGATTTATTCCATCGTCACAGGATTAAAATTACGCGTATGAAATACGCGCATGAGTCACAAAAATTTCAATTGCGCTCGATTAACGGAAATCAATGCTCTATTTGCTATTAATTTCAGCTCTCACGAGAAAAGCCGATCTCTCTATTTCATCGATAAAGTTGCTTGATATTTATTCATAGAATTTGATATTCGGACGATGACAAAAATTCTTTTTCGGCATTTTAATGTGTCTTTGTATCCTGTGAAAATGAACTCTCCGATTAAATACTGACATTCGAGTGATAGAGAGCTCACATGACAGACTCGAAAAATAAATGATGTCGCTATTGCTTAATGGTATGTGACAGTATGAACGATCGTATTCTTGAGAAAAGAATCGGCTAAACATCACGCAATACGACAATGTATCGAGGACACTTAAGAGATGAAGAATGAAACTTTTGTGATTATATTATCGAATATTAAATTTAGAATCAATTCGCATCACAATGTGTGGAGATACTTTATAAAATTGAAACATGTTGGGGTGACGATGTGTTACGCGTCAAAGTTTTCTTTTCTCTTCTTATAAAGAGATGATCTGATATTGATATTCTACCTCGAATTTTATTCTTTATTTATAAAAATTAGATTTTTTCTTCTTATAAAGAGATCTGATATTGATTATTCTATCTCGAATTTTATTCTTTTGTTATAAAAATTAGATTATTGAAAACAGTGAGTGAATCAGCTTATCGCGTTACTTTATTAAAGTTTCATTTTCTCTTCTTGCGTATGCCAATGCATGCTATTGAGAGAAACACAATAGAGTAACGCAATAGCGACCAATGAGACCTCGTTAGTTCTCATTATGTGGATAATTGTTTTACTATCATGATGAGTACGTTAACTTTTAATAAGACCCTGGAGACACGAGATGTTGTTCATAAAGTATTGCAACTCATGAATAGCAAGATATTTTTTATTGCGATAAAATAATGAATTTTAAAAGGGAAAAGGAGAAACGAAAAGGGAAAACGAGACAATATGCAATTATATTTTCAGACGATGTGCAGCAAATGAAATGCTAATTATGGCATGCAAATTGTAATTTCAGGAAGAAAGAGAGAGAATTCCTTTTTCCGCAGCAGGATAAGAATGGGGGATCGCAGATTAGTTATGAAATTGATTCCGGAAAGATGCTTGTAGGCGAAGAAAGCAATCTCGGTGGACGGTGCGTGCGTTTAATGAGAGTGTTTGAAGCGGGGGAGAAAGAATGAGTAAAATATCCGAGAAAGGGAGAGACAAAGGAAAGAGAAACGCGTCGTTAAATGCAGGTTATTGGATGGCCGTTATTGTCGGACCTGTTTGCCGCTCATAAGTCGCTACTTATCTCGGGCTGTTTCGCGTCGCTTATTAGCTCGCCAGGGGCTGACGCATTATTTTGTGCGAACGAAATCAGAAACCACACTAACCAGGTCGGCGCACGAAAAAATGGCTATTGCGGCTCCTGCTGCGATAAAATGCGTAAAATTGCGTTTAAGCGCGATACTTTACGATAATAGGCCACAAAGGATGCTCCCGAGCGAAATAAATTTGTTTAGAAAATCAAGGTATTTAAAAATCAAAGTCTTTAAAGTTATAATTTTTGATCGAAATTTTTATTTTTTGAGTCACATTTTTCAAATAATAATCGGCAAAGACCAGCACAAACAATTTAAAAATACGTGCAAAAATAGAAATATTAAAGTTAATGATAATCATTAAGTGACAATTATTAATTGACAAATAAGAATCGAGGTAATTGACAGGAACTCAAGAAAAATATCTTTTTTTTTCTCTTACTACAATAATATATTTTATTTAAAATATTCAATTTCGTTAAAATATATACATCTTCTTGCGCTTCGATTTAAATTACTGTGTCTCGGGTCTTATTTGCCACTTTTGTCATATAGTAATTGTTACTTTGAGTCTGAGTTTTTATATTTATTTTTAAATTTTTTGTGCTGATATTTGTCAACTGACACTCGAAGAATGATGTAACACAAAGAGCAAATGTTTCGATTTCCTTATAGCACTTTTATCGTCCTTTTTCTTCTGTATTTTCTCGTCACACGTCACACTTTTGCAAAATTTGAAATTTAAATTGTTGTACTGTGGCTCTTATATATTTCTTGGAAATCTTGCAGAGAATTTATTTATTGTTTATACGCATGTGTTTTTCTGCACAATATTGCTCGCAGGCTTCTTTGTAGACAATAAAGTTGCAAAGTACAAGGGGGGAGGAGAGATATCGCCCTTAGGACAGTCCCGGTTATATATAGAGAGCACAATATTCGCGCGAAAGAACAAAGTAACGTACGTTATCTTGCTTCGCACCTATTTTCCTTATCGCGAGATTTATGCTACGCTGTAAAATCTTCTTTCGTGTGTTGCTCATGTGTCGTAAGCATCATCATTAATTTCGTTTGCGCTGTCATTAGTGCAGTGTCTTTAATTATAACCGCAACTCATGAGTCTTTGACGGTTTCTCTTGATGAGGCATTAAATGCCTCGTTGTTTGTTATACCGCAACCCGTTTACTTTCTTGTTTCTTTGCACTGCGTTAATTAACGGTTTGCAGGGAAGAAGATTCGCAAGCCTTTATCGGAACGAATAGTCACGTGTATTCGATCGAATTTCCCTAGCGTTCGTGCTTCTTTTGATTTAGATAATATACATAAAATTAACAAACTTTATTACCTGACGTGAATTTACATCACTTAAGAGTAAGCTTATTGCCAGGAATAAAAAAATATGATGCGATAAATAGAGAAAATTATATCTTTCTTTATTTTATCTCGAGTTCCTTATATTTCATTATTATTCGGTTAACAAAAAAATAATTTTCTACATAAAAATACGTATAATGTATTTATTGGTTTACTTATATTCGTATTATCTCATTTTATAGAATTATCTTATTTTGCAAATGGCAAATCGCATCGAC